GGTGTTCCGCGCGCGCGCGTTACGGAAAAAAACATCCACGCTGCGAGACCGTTCCGAGAGATGATCGCTCGTCCAAAAATCAGCCGAAACGAGTGGAACACGGCCGAGAGAGGAGCCTTTGAAGTCGGGAATTTCGCTCTCTTGTCCCGCCCTGGAAGATGCCCTGCCACGCGTGGAGCGCCATCGCGATCTGCGCGCGGTGGGCGAGCTCGACGAGCTCCGCCGGCGACCGCATGCCCGCTTTGGTCTCCTTGGTCGCGCGGTGGCGGAAGATGACGGACTGGATGAGGAGCGCCTTCTGCGTCCGGAGGCTCTTGTCGACGCGCGCCTGCTCCGTGTCGCGCGCGATGTGCTCCGCGGTCTCGCCGTAGTCCTTGAAGCACTCGACGACCTCGAAGGGCTCCAGCCCGACGTCGGCGGCGGCGATGATGGCCTTGAAGCAGTCGAGGTCCACGGCCGCGCGCGCGGCCGCGCCGCCCTCGGCCGCGCGCGCGCGGCCGTTCCAGAGCGCGGTCCACTTGGCCGTCTGCTCCTGGCGGTGGCGCCGCCGCGTCGCGTGGGCGCGGCAGGCGCGCTGGAGCGCGCGCGCGGCCTTCTTCTCCCGCACGTAGGCGTCCTCGAACGCGCGCTCGTGCCGCGCGAAGCCCGAGCAGAGGAGGATGGCCTCGTCGCAGTCCATCCAGGGCGGCTTCGTCGCGTCGGCGTCGTCGGCCCGGGCGAGCTCCTCGAGCTGGCGCCGCCGCTCGTCGTAGGCGCGGGGGTCGCACTCCTTGGTCCAGTGGAAGATGACCTCGTCCGCGGCCTTGGCGAAGAGCCGCGCGTCGAAGCGGTTCGCGCCGACGAGGAGCCGCGCGAGCGCCGTCGCCGGCGCGACGACGTATCCCTTGACGCCGTGGTAGAGCAGCTTGAAGTAGCGCCGCACGAGCATGCCCAGGCTCCGCAGGTCCGCGGCCTCGAGCGCGTCCTCGGCCTCGGGCGCGCGCGCCCGCGCGGCGCCGTCGACGATGCCGAGGAAGACCGCGAAGACCTCGAGCCGCTTGTGGCGGCTCCGCGTCTTCGCCTCGTGGCACGTCGCGACGACGGCGCGCAGCTTCTTGACGGCCAGCGTCCGCATGCCGAAGCGGCGGATGAGGCAGTTCATCGCGATCGTCCGCAGCGGCAGCTGCGTCACGGCCATCGCCGCGATGATCATCGCGACGAGGTTCTTCTTCCCGAGGGCCTGGGCCTCGGCGTTCGCCGCCGTGACGTCGGCGCGCAGCGCCTCCTCGAGGAGCTGGGGGATGAGGGCGACGGCGCCCTGGATAGGCATGCCCTTCTCGCACTTCTTGCCGCCGATGATGCCGAGCTCCATGAGCTCCCGCTGCCGCTGCGTGAAGCCCATCATGGCCACGCGCGCCGTGTTGCCGGGCTTGCCGCCCCGGAGCCGCGCGAGGGCGCCGACCGCGCCCTTCTGGACCTTGGCCTTGGCGAGGGACCGCCGCGCGGCGCCGCCGAGCTTGCCGCGCGACGTCGGCGACGCGGAGCCCGGCGGCGCGGCGTCCGCGCCGCCGCCCGCGCCGCCGCCCGCCCCGAGCGCGCCGGGGACGACCGCGCCCGCGGCGCCCCCGGCGGCGCCCGCGCCGGCCGGCGCCGCGCCCGACGCCAGCGCGTCGAGCGCCTTCGCGAGCGCGTCGAGCGTCAGATCCGTCTGCGTCTCGTGCGTCGCGTACTGCCGCGCGCGCTCCCGCGGCTTCTTCTCCCTGCGCTTCTTCCCCTTCTTCCTCCTCGCGGCGCCGCCCGCGCCCGCGTCGCCGTCCGCGCCCGCGGCGCCGTCCGCGCCCGCGGCGCCGTCGCCGTCGGCGCCGTCGGCGCCGTCGTCGCCGTCGCCGTCGGCCTCGTCGTCGTCGTCCCCGGAGCTCGACGCCAGCGCGTCGCCGTCCCCCGCGCGGATCGCCGCCCGCTGCTTGCCGTGGCGCCTCCGGCCCTCGCGGCCGCCGCCGAACTTCTCCGCGAGCGTCGCGCGGACGCCGCCCGACCGCGCCTGGGCGGGAAAAGAGTGATTCAAGTTCGCTTCAACGTGAGTGGTCCGCGCGCGCGCGTTCCGGAAAAAGCATCCACGCGTCGAAAACGCTCCGAGGGATGATCGCTCGTCCAAACATCGGCCGAAACGAGTGGAACACGGCCGAGAGACGAGCCTTTGAAGTCGGGCGCGTCGCGCGCGCGTCCCGCCCCGGGCCGCGCGGCCGCGAAGGCGAGGTTCGCGTCGTCCTCCGTGGCGTCGTCGTCGTACTCGTCGCTGCCGTAGTCGCTGCGGTCGCTGTCGCCGAGGTCCGGCCGCTTGCCCGGCGGCGACGCGTCGAGCGTCTTCGACGACGCGACGAGCGCGCCCGCGAGGAGGCTCGACGCGTCGCCGCCCGCGGGCGGCGCGGCGGCGGGCGGCGGCGGCGGCGGCGGCGCCTTCTTGGGCGGCGGCGCCTTGCCCGTGACGAAGCGCGGCCCGCCCTGGTCCTTGCCGAGCTTGTAGCCGGCCTCGAACGCGAGCCGGATGCGGAGCTCGAGCGCCTCGCGCGCCTCCGCGGGGTCCTCGGGCAGCGATTCGGCGACGGCGAAGTCGTCGAGCACGTTCTCGAGCGCGTGGTCCTTGGCGTCGCGCTCGCCCCGCTCCCGGAGCGCTTTCTCCTTGTCGCCCTCGGGGATGCCCGGGTGCCGCGCGGCCGCGCCGCCCGCGGGCCCGCCCAGCGCGCGCGCAAAGTTGTCGTCCTGCTCCTTCTTGTAGCGCACGGACTTCATGGCGATGCAGTGCCAGGCCCAGCAGTAGAGCTTCATCTTGAGGCGCGCGACGCGGCGCTCGTGGCGCACGTGCGCGGCCCACGCGTGGACGATGGGCTTGAGGGTCGCGTCGTTCCAGCGGCCGTAGAGGCGCGCGGCGACCTTCTGGTTCCGCCGGCAGGCGGCGGCGTAGGACTCGAGGCGGCTCCGGAGCTGCGCGCAGACCTCGAACCACGGCGTCGCGGCGTTGAGCGCCGCGGCCGTCGTCCGCCCGCCGTTCGCCTCCATGTCCGGCAGGATCGTGCGCTCGTAGTCGCTGAAGACGCAGCGGAGCGTCGTCGCCGACAGGAGCTGCGTGAAGGACGAGAAGCGCCGGTAGAGGGTCGTCAGCTTCAGCAGGAGGTCGCCCGCGAGCGCGGCGACGACGGTGTGCGGCGCGTTGCTGTAGAACTCGTCGGGGTCCGTCTCGAGGAGCAGCGCCTCGCGGAGCCGCAGCTCGCCGTAGATCGCCAGGGAGTTGAAGGACTGGGTCTCGTTCTGCAGGCTCAGGTGCCACGCCGTGAGCTCGGACCGGCTCAACAGCTCGAGCGCCGCCGCGGGCGCCCCGCCGCCGCGCAGGCCCGCCGTCGCGCCGTCGAAGGTCACGGACCGCAGGTCCGGCGTCTTGCCGCGGGACAACACCGTGGCCGGCGACGTCATGCCGCCGAGCGCCGGCACCTCGGGCAGGTAGGGCTGGTAGGGGTCGTGGCTGCGGATCGACCGCAGCTTCGGCGGCGCGCCCTTCCACCGCTTCTTCTTGATCTTCGGCGCGTGCTTGAAATTGTCCAGGTCCATGCTGTCGGACGCATTGCGAGGCATCGCGCCGGCCGCGACCTAGAAGAAGAGACGCGCTGCGGGCTCCATTGCCGGTTTGGCTGCCCGAGACGGCTCCATCACATTCACCGTTGGCTTCGGAAGAAAACTATGCGCGCTATGAGGAGCTCCATAATTGCGCTCCTCGTGGGGCGCGCCGCGGCATCGACGACCGTCAGCAGCATGACGAATACGTATGCTCTCGGCAGCTCCGAGTGCTACGCGCCGACGTCGGAGGGCGGCTGGGGCTACTGCGGCGCCCCGACGTGCAAGAACCAGTACATCACCTGCTCCGACGAGGGCGGCGGCCCCCCGACGGTCGACGGCGTCACCGGAGCGTACCGGTCCGATTACTCCAGCGACGGCTCGGATTGCACGAGCTTCCTCGACATGTCCGACTACACGGAGGAGACGGACTGGGCCTTCAAGGGCGCGTGCACGTCGGACTGCACGCAGCGCACGGACGGCGTCTGCGACGGCACGTTCTTGGAGCAGGTCATCCAGGGGCCGAGCATCAAATACGCGTTCTGCAACGACAAGTGGCTCCTCGTGCTGTCGTCCGGCGAGGGCGGCGTCTTCGAGCCGCACCTCAACAACGTGCCGAGCCCGTCCCGCGCGGCGTCCGGAGAGAGTTCCGGCTTGAGAAAAACACGTCGTCCCTCGCAGGCCCCTCGGCACGTCCGACGGGGTGACCTACTGCACGGGGGACCCGACGCGCACCATCGACCGCTACTACAGCCTCCAGTACCCGCTCGACGTCGTCGACTTCAGCTCGGGCGTCTACACGAACAACGTCGACCTCTTCGACGGCACGTCGGGCAGCGACGCTATTACCTACGCGTACAGCGACGGCACGGGCATCGGGACCTACGGCCTCCCCGACGGCGCGGGCGTCGGCATCACGGTCAACGGCATGCAGAACTGGGTCACGCAGAACAACCGCGGCGAGTGGAACCAGCCGACGTGCGAGGCGTCGCCCTGCAACCTCCACGTCGGCCAGGGCGCGGGCCAACCCCACGTCCACGGCGACCTCTTCAGCGACAGCCACCAGTGCCTGTACGGCACGTCGAATTACACGTCGACGGCGACGCACCCGCCCATCATCGGCTTCGGCGCCGACGGCCACCTCATCTACGGCCGCTACCTCGGCGACGACGCGCCGGGCTTCGCGGCGCCGCTCCTCGACGAGTGCAGCGGCCACACGCACGACGAGTCGACGACCGACGAGTACGGCGTCGACCTCGGGGCGACGTACCACTACCACACGCAGATCTTCGACTACACCTGCGGCGCGGGCAACGACCGCTGCGACGACGGCGACGAGGTCGTCATCTCGACGACGGGCCCGCTCTTCTGCTTCCGCGCGGACCTGAGCCGGCAGGAGGGGTCGAGCGCGCTGCTCTCGTTCACGACGTCCGACGCCTACCTGACCGCGAACGACATGACCTACGCCTGCTGCGACATGACGGACTACTACGTCATCACGGGCAACGAGTTCAACAACATGGCGTCGTTCTTCGACAGCGCGTCGACGTGCACGGTCGCGGCGCAGCCGGACAACGGCGCCTACGCGTCGGACTACTGCGAGACGGGCGACACGCTCTACAGCGGCAACGGCTGCCACGTGACCTGCGACTCGGGCTACGCGGCGTCGGGCATCACGCGCTGCGTCGAGGGCGCCTTCGTCGAGTACGCGACGTGCGTCGCGGACGCGACGCCGTCGGGCATCCCGACGCCGGCCCCGACGGACCTCCCCGCGCCCGTGCCCACGCCCGCGCCCACGCATCCGCCCACGGTGGCCCTCGGCTCGCCGACGAAGCAGCCCGTCACGGGCGCGCCGTCCCTGACGCCGTCGACGGCCGCGCCGGTCTCCGTGCCGCCGCCGACGGCCGCGCCCGTCGTCCCGCCGACGCCGGCGCCGTCCGCGGCCGCGGACGTCGTCGCGGGCGAGATGACGGTGGAAGGCATGACCTACGAGGACGCCTCGGACAACGAGGCCGTCTTCGTCGCGGCCGTCGCGGACGCCGCGGCCGTCTCCGCGGACGCCGTCGCCGTCGCCATCGCGTCCGCGCGCCGCCGCCGCCTCACGGACACGCTGACGATATCCTACACCATCACGGTCGCGAGCGAGAGCGCGGCGACGGCGCTCGCCGCGGACCTCGGCGCGCTCGACACGTCGGACTTCGACGCCGCGATCCAGACGGCCGCCGCGAGCGTGGGCGTGTCCTCGGCGTTCTCGACCGCGGCGACGACGTCGGCGCCGGCGCCGTCGACGGGGAAGATGTCGCCGAGCGGCACCGTGACGCCCGACGACGACGGCACGGTGGACGCCGCCTCCGCGGCCGCGGCGGCGATCTGGGCGGCCGGCGCGGCCGCGGTCGGCCTGCTCCTCTAGGGGGGGCACCTTAGCATCTTTTGCGTTTTTCGCGCGCGCGGCGCGCGGCGTCGCCGAGGTAGCGGCACTCGTCGGCCGTGGGGAAGGCCGGCGCGCCGTCCCGCTCGCCGCCGAAGTAGCGCGCGGAGGACCAGAGCGTCGCGGGAGCGGCGACGTCGTCGAGCGGCGGCGGCCGCTCGAAGATGGTCTCGTAGAGGACGCACGCGAGGAGCAGCGAGCCCCGCGGCGTCGGGTGGTAGCCGTCCTCCTGGAAGAGCGACCGCCAGAGCGCGGGCCGCTCGGCGCGGACGATCTCGAAGGCCGCCGCGCAGGGCGCGACGCGGGGCGCCGGCGCGCCCGCGGCCGCGAGCGCGGCCGCGTACGCACCGTAGCCCGCCTCGAGGTCGCGCGCGAACGCGTCGAGGCCGCCGACGTCGCCCTTGTGGGGCGCGTCGTAGGCGTAGGTCTCGAGGAGCACGGGCGTCGCGCCGCGCAGGAGCGGCGCGTAGTCCGCCGCGAGCGACGCGGCGCTCGCCGCCCGGGGCGCCGCGCGCGCGGGCGCCTGCGTCTGGTCCTGGAGCACGACGAAGTCCCAGCGCCTCGCGAGGAGCCGCCGCGCCGACCACGCGCCCGCGCGCAGCGGGCCGTAGAGGTGGGAGATGCCGTTGCCCCGGGCGAAGAGCGTCGGCAGGTCCGCGCCGCCGCGCATGCAGGAATCCTGGTGCAGGCGGCCGCCGTGCAGCGTCGCGAGGAGCCGCGGCAGGTCGTTGTAGTAGCAGATGCTGTTGCCGAGGAAGGCGACGCGCGGCCGGCCTCGGCGCCGCGACCACCAGGGCAGCAGGAACGTGACGACGACGGCGGCGATCGAGACGGCCATGGCTGCTCGGCTGGGGTCGTCGAGCATCGGCTAGTAGCAATCGAAATCGTCACGCTGTTGATCGCGCCTTGTAGTGTCGGAACTGGGACCGCGCGTTGCTGTTATTGATAACGATGCGGCTGCCGGCAGCCCGCATGCCGCAATCGGGACAGCTTCAACGTCTCCTCGGCGAGGTCAACGAGATTCGTTCACCTTGTCAAAGAGTCTCGGCGCGGCCGCCTTCTCGTCGTCCGTCGCGTCATAAAACGAGGCCTACGACGCGTTGCTCAACGATGCCAAACGCATGGGCTAGATATCTCGCCTGCTGCGCGGTCGCTGCCGCAAGCGAGGTCGCTGCCGCAGCGCTGCCACCGGACTGGCTCGTCGCCACCGTCGACGCGCCGGTGACCCTCGTCGAGCACGCGGACGGCACCATCTCGCTGACCAACGGGCTGCTCACGCGCACCTTCGCGCTGGCTCCCGGCTTCGGCACGGTCGCCTACGTCGCCGAGGCGACGGCCGCGCGACCGCGCGAGCACGTGCTGCGGAGCGTCGTCGCCGAGGCGACCGTCGTCCTCGACGGCGTCGCCTACGCGGTCGGCGGCCTGTCGCTGGAGCAGAACCACTCGGCGTACCTGCGGCGGCCGGTCAAGTACGCGGTGGACGCGGACGCGTTCGCGTACGTCTCGCACTCGACGTCTTCGCCCGAGGCGCCCGTGCCCTGGGAGCACGGCCGCCGCCACGCGCCGAACGCGTCCTGGCCGCCCGAGGGCCTGCGCCTCGACGTCGCGTTCCGCGCGCCGGCGGGCGCGACGAGACACCGGAACGTCACCGTCTGGCTCCACTACGAGCTCTACGCGGGCGCGCCGCTGCTGGCCAAGTGGGCGAGCCTCGCGGTCGACGCCGGCGCGGCGGACGTCGTCGTGGACCGCGTCGACGTCGAGCTCCTGGCCGTGAACGCGCCCTTCGCCAAGGAGAACGTCGCGCGCCACCACGGGTCGACGGCCGGGCCCGCGGGGCGGCTCCACGCGGAGACGGACCAGCCGCACGGCACGCAGATCCTCTGGCAGGACGACGCCGCGTTCGCCGAGGCGGCGGACGCGGGCGCCGTCGAGCCCGTGCTCAACGCGACCTACGCGTCGGGCCCCGGCGTCCGCCTCGGCTCCGTCGACGCGTTCGCGAGCTTCCGCGTCTTCGAGATGACGCTCGACGGCTTCGACGTCGAGCGCGACCAGCTGGCGACGCACCAGATCGTGCGGCGCCTCGCGCCGTGGACGTCGGAGAACCCGATCTTCTTCCACCTGACGGACGCGTCGTCCGCGGGGTTCCGCCGCGCCGTGGACCAGATGGCCGACGTCGGCTTCGAGATGGTGATCTACAGCTTCGGCTCCGGCTTCCGACTCGAGACGCGGAACGAGACCTACCTGGCGTCCGTCGCCGCGGACGTCGCCTACGCCGCGGCGAAGGGCGTCGAGGTCGGCGGCTACGACCTGATCTGTCTCGACCGGGGCCACGGGGGCTACGGGGGCGACGTCGGCGACGAGTGGGCCCGCGTCAACGACGACGGGAGCCTCGGCGTCGACGCGTGCTTCGCGAGCGGCTGGGCCGACGAGCTCCGGTCCCTCGCGCTCGATTTCTTGGACGCCACGGGCCTCGCCATGCTCGAGACGGACGGCCCCTACGGCGGCGGCGAGTGCGCCGCGACGAACCACAGCCACCACCGCGGCCGGGAGGATTCCGTCTACATGCAGACGAAGATCCAGGCCGAGTTCTACACGGAACTGCGGCGGCGCGGGGTCTTCGTCAACCAGCCGGACGACTATTTCTACCAGGGCGGCCAGAAGACGGGCATGGGCTACGACGAGAACCAGTACTCGCTGCCCCGCTGGGAGGACCTGTCCGTGTCGCGGCAGTCCATGTTCGACGACACCTACGCACGCACGCCGACGCAGGGCTGGATGTTCGTGCCGCTGAACGAGTACCACGGTGGCGGCGAAAGCGCGGTCTTCGAGCCCCTCGCGGAAAACATCGACGACTACGAGTGGGCGCTGGCGCAGTACCTCGGCTACGGCGTCGCCGCGTGCTACCGCGGCGACCGGCTCTTCGACTCGAACGAGACCAAGGCCGTCGTCGCGAAGTGGGTGGCCTTCTACAAGGCCCACCGCGAGATCCTCGTCTCGGACCTCGTCCACCTCCGGCGGCCGGACATGCAGGGCATCGACGCGATATTGCATGTCAACCCATTCGCGGCGTCGGGCGAAGTCGCGCTGGCGATGATCTTCAACCCGACGGACGCGCGGCAGGCGACGTCGCTCCGGCTGCCGCTCTACTACGCGGGCCTGACCACGTCGGCGACGCTCGCGGACTCGTCGGGCGCCGCGCGGACCGTCGCGCTCGACCGAAGCTACGCCGTCGACGTGGCCCTCGACATGGCGCCCCGCGCGGTCGAGTGGGTCGTCGTCACCGCGCCGTGATCTGTTTTTTCCTAACCCCGTTGTATGTCAAACGCGGTCGTCGTCACCGCGCCGTGATCTGTTTTTTTCCGAACCCCGCTGTATGTGAAACGCGGTCGTCGTCACCGCGCCGTGTTCCCCTAACCCCGCTGTAGTTCAACGCGCCTTAGTCCCCGGCGCGCTCCTTCTCCATGCCCACCGCGAACGCGTCGAGCGTCCGTTTCAGGAGCGACCGGATGAAGCGCTGCGCGCGCGGGCCCTCGACGATGTCGGCGATGGCGCGCGGGATGCGGTAGGTGATGGCGACCTCGACGTCGCAGCCGTCACCCGCGTCGGCGAAGGACGCGGCGCCGAAGTTGTGCGCGCCGGCGCGCGACTCCCATCGCAGGAGCCCGGGCGGCGCCTCCTCCAAATTCTGGGCCGTCCAGCCGACGCTGACGCCCTTGTAGCCCATGCGCCACTCGCTGCTGCGCGTCTCCTCGTCGAAGGTCACCTTCGAGAGCAGGGGGCACCACTCAGGCATGCGCGTCAAATCGCTGTAGGCCGCGTAGCATTGCTCCGTGGGCGCCGCGACGCGCACGGTGGCCGCGGTCCGGATCCAGCGCTCGGGCTTGGCGGTCTTCGGGGGCTTCGTGGCGATCGAGGGCCGCTCGCGCAGGGCGCCGGCGAGGCCCAGCAGGGCCCCGCAGAGGCACGCGACGCGGGCCATACCGCAATGAGCTCGGTGGTGAGAGCTCGTCGCTTGGGCAACATCTCGGCAACGACATGGTGCGGCGTAAAGTAAATATCCGCCTCGTCCGCCCAAGCAGCCGATGCTGCCCCTTGTTTATGTCGCCATTCACGGTGTTTGATTTCGTGATAGCCGGCACCCGTAATCGCGAGGTCCACAGCGGGGCGCCATGGCCCTGCTCCCACCGGACTCGACGCACCAGTTCACGGTGTCGAACACGGTCTTCGAGGTCCCCAAGCGCTACTCGCTGATCCGCAGCGTCGGGAACGGCAGCTACGGCGTCGTCATGTGCGTGCCGCCCCCCCCCGCCCGACCGCCGGCTTCGCCCCCCCCCCCCGACTCCCCCGCCCGACCCCGCGACCCCCGCCGCAGCTCCGCCGTGGACAGCGACACGAAGTGCAAGGTGGCCATCAAGAAGATTCCGCGCGCGTTCGACGACGTCGTCGACGCGAAGCGGATATCAGGGCAGCAAAAGGGTGATTCAACGTCGCTTCAAAGCGAGTGTTCCGCGCGCGCGCGTTTCGGAAACAGCACCCACGCTTCGAGAGCGCTCCGAGAGATGATCGCTCGTCCAAAAATCAGCCGAAAAGAGCGGAAAACGACCGAGATAGGAGCCTTTGAAGTTGGGAATTTCGCACCCTTTTGCTGCCCAGGCGGATCCTGCGGGAGATCACGCTGCTGCGGCAGATGGACCACGAGAACATCGTGAACATCATCAACATCCTGCCCCCCACCGACGGCGAGTGGACGGACCTCTACATCGTCTCCGAGCTCATGGAGACGGACCTGCACCGCATCATCTACTCGAAGCAGGCGCTGTCGACGGACCACTGCCAGTACTTCGTCTACCAGATCCTGCGGGCGCTCAAGTACATGCACAGCGCCAACGTCATGCACCGGGACCTGAAGCCGTCGAACCTGCTCCTGAACAGCAACTGCGACCTCAAGGTCTGCGACCTCGGCCTCGCGCGCGGCGTCGAGCCCGAGCAGCGGCCGGGCGACCTCACGGAGTACGTCGTCACGCGGTGGTACCGCGCGCCGGAGATCATGCTCGCCTGCACGGAGTACGCCAAGGCCATCGACGTCTGGAGCACGGGCTGCATCTTCGCGGAGTTGCTGGAAAGGCAGGCCGTCTTCCCCGGCGACGACTACATCGACCAGATCCGCAAGATCATCGCGAAATTGGGCAAGCCCGGGGCGGCGGACTTGGACTTCGTGACGTCGGAGAAGGCGCGGCGCTTCATTTTGGACCTGCCGGAGACGCCCGGCGCGGACCCGGACCGCGTGACGGCCGCGTTCCGATCGGCGTTCCCGGGCTGCCCCGACGACGCGGCGCTGGACCTGCTGCGCCTCATGCTGGTGTTTAACCCGCGGAAGCGCGCGTCCGTCGAGGAGTCGCTGGCGCACCCCTTCATGGCGTCGCTGCACATGGAGAGCGACGAGCCCTGCGCGGACTTTTCGGCCGTGCTCGACTTCGAGAAGCAGACGCTGGACCGCGACTCGCTGCGCCAGCTCGCCTGGGGCGAGATGCTCCACTACAACCCCCAATTGCGCCCGCCGCCGCCGCCCCAGCCCGCCGCGGAGCAGGCCGCGGCCGCCGCGGACGCGCGGCGCCGCGCGGCCGCGGCCGCCGCGGCCGCGAACCCCGCGGCGCCGGCGGCGCCGGGCGCATCGGGGCCCCGGGGCGTGCCCGCGGCCCAGCTCCTGGCCCACCCGGGGGGCTTCCACATGGTCCCCGCGCCGCCGATGGCCATGCTGCCGGGCGGCGCGCCGATGGGCGCGGGCCAGCTCACCGCGGCGCAGCAGCAGCAGCTCATGGCGGC